ATACATTTTTTATAATTGAATTGTTTACTAACTAAACAAATCATAACTAAATATTTTAAATATCTAAAATAAAATTTTCTTAGTAACAATAAAAATACACGATTGATAAAGAAAAGTTGACAAAAGAGAGAAAACATTTTTTGTGTTCATACGTTCTAAAATGTACATTTTACATAATTTAGAGATCGGTTATGTCTTATGTCCTAACTTTACGTTCTATAAAGTTTAGAGATCATCGAGTGTAATTTTTTTTCCTTGGAAAGCGGAAAAACAAAGGAAGGAGGAAGACGGTACGGTGAAGAATGGTTTTATCAGGATTTTTTGATGAGCAACTGAGCGTGCCAGACATATTTGCGTTCTTCAGAGAACCCGTTGACGGATGCCACATCATCTTCGTCGTTACCATTAATAGGGGAAAGATGACAAATGTATATTGTCTCGTATTGTTTTGACACCGAACTTATGGCTTTATGGGAGTTGAATGGACGACAAGCAGAAGAGGTGAAGTTTCATTAAAACCATTAATTTTGGAACCCTAACGTCAAAGGAGAAACGTTAATATTGAAATATTATTTGCTTTTTTTTTTCCAAAACTAATGTTGAACACGTGACACTATGAAGAGATAACGTGCCAATCCACTTTCATATAATAGATTTCCGTTTTTAGCCACTTCTTAGCCGTGCCACCACTTGACATTGTACCATGCATCATATCTATTTAAGACCTTTATCAAAACATGACTTTTAAAAACCTTTTTTTATAAATGAGATATATATTTCAAGGGAAATATATATCTTATAGAAATAACATAGAAATTTTGAAATATTATATTTCAAGTAATATATTTAGAAATAATATATTTCAAGTAATAACATAGAAATTTTTTATATTTAGGTCACTTGCCATAAAAAGTTATGGTTAGGATATTCTATTTAAATAACTTTAAATTATTATTTTTTGTCACAAATTTAAATAACTTTAAATTATTTTAAAATATTAGTCACCCGAATGGATAACTTTGTATTCTTATCCGAGCATGAAGAAACCAAAACTTCTTCGATTTAAATTGTGTGTTTCAGGTTTTCAGCATTTTTTTTTCCAGTTGTGTTATGGCTTATGTGACATCCTTTTAGAAAGTTCTTAAAATGCTGATGTGGATAGAGCCTCAAACAACTGTTATTATTTAGTACTAGATGATTACCCGCGCTATGCTGCAGGGTTTTTTTCTTTAATTTTGTTTCGTCAAAATTAAACTTTTACTTTAATTTATTTTTACCAAAAATATCAATTATATAACTAATTAGAGTATATATATATTTTCCATTTATATTTTGAATATTTTATCTATTTAACTTCTTAAAATATTGTAATTACAACCATGTATTTGTCACATTTGAGAAAATGTTTAGTTAAACTTCAATGGAAAATATTTGAGATAAAGAATTGTTCTAAAACTGTGAGACAACTGGTGGTGGTCTAAAGGTATAAATTGAAATTAAGCTTCTTCCTTTGTTTGCCTTAGCACTCCATTAGTATGTTTGGTCCTTTATTTTCCTTTGCTATCCATTACTAAACTTGTTTCTGTTTTCCTCTCTTTGGTGTGGTACTGTGGTTCTTGTCCTGCATGTGTATTTTTTTTGTTTTGATTAGTTTTTAAGAATTCAAATGTGGTTAATTATGTACTTTTAGGATTTTAAATTACATGTCCCTTTGTAGTGGAGGTGTTTTTTTATTGAATCCATTACCGCTTCGTAACTCTTTTTGTCTCTTACCATTGATTTTTCCAAATTGTTGATGGCGTTATTTTCTGACAGTGGCATTTCTGGGAAATCCGTGGCTCTTTGACTGAGTAGCTTTTGGAGTTCTGTTAGAACATATTGTTTTACTGCTTCATCTTCCAATTGTAACTCTTTGTAGTCGAACCTCTTACGCTACATGTGTAAGACATCTTT